TATGACAAGATGTTGCTTCAAAGATTGATGGCGTATTCAATTTGATGCCGTCTGCACCCCGACAGTTCCGCCCGTCATCCGGGTGCACCCGGAGAGCCAAGCCAGGGAGCCGGGCGTCACCGCCAGCCTACGATGCCACGCTGAGGGCATCCCCCGCCCCCAACTGACCTGGCTCAAGAACGGCATGGACATCACACCCAAGCTATCCAAGCAACTCACTCTGCAAGGTAGCACCTTTCTTGTAAGGTAGCTTTATTTTAGCCCGGCACATTAGCTACTACAGTGTTATTTGGACTTATGCAATTTATAAAGGGTTTATTTCTTATTTATATCTGCCTTTTTTCTTCTTCAAATTGTGCGATTTTTGATGAAATTGAGGTAGTCTTGCTGAACTACTTTGTGGAAGTCTTATTTGAGGTTGTCTTGTTTTCAATCTCCACAATTTGGGACGGGGGCAGCTGATTTGAAGTCTTACTTTAATCTGAGCTGAGCAGAAAATACTTGGAGATGCATCTTTTTTTTTTTTTTGTGCATTTTCTCATCCCAGCTAACGGCAGCGAGGTGCACATCAGCAACGTGCGCTTTGAGGACACCGGCGCTTACACCTGCATCGCCAGAAACCAGGCAGGAGTGGATGAGGACATCTCCTCGCTCTTTGTGGAAGACTCGGCGCGCAAAACCTGTAAGTCGGCATCATGGCGTCCATTCAAGATGTCCGCCCTTGAGTTCCGGCGCAGCAGTGACAGAGCCCCAGTGAAGAAAATAACAAATAGCGGCAGGACGCGTCGACAAAGCTTGACAAAGCAGAAACAATTGGCACACTGTGAAGGGCATCTCTCCTGTGCCAGTTAGCAGCAGACTGGCGGCCGTCCGAGCCACGACAGACTGTTTAACAGGCCTAAAAAGAGAAGTCATCTGCTCCCAAATGTACTTTATTAACAGTAAACTGTCGCTCTCGTAAAAAATGTTTTGGGCTTGAGAGGCGGCCATATTATAGTGTTGTTCAGCCTGTTCAGACCATTGCTACGTGCTTGGTGAGTTACTGAGCATGTTAAAAATAGGTTCAACTAGCTGTTTTGTGAGGAAAGCTGCCATTTCGCTTGTGGGCGAAAGACGGTGTCAGATGTTGAGAACAGGATGGAGCACAGTTACATTCAAACGAGCGACATAACAGGATGAAAACATCTCGACTGCTTCCAATTTAGTTTCCCTCACGGTAGGGGAGAAAAAAAAGAATCATGAGTAAAACAAAATGGCACAACTCACAGTCCATTGTTAAACCCAAAGCACAATTACGGCGACAGGTACAATGAGGTGTTGGATTGTCTGGACCGGGAATTAATTCCTGTCCTCCAGTCATTAAACCCTCCAAAATGAAATGAAATAAATTCTGCCAAGTCAGCCACTGCGTATCTTTTGACAAGGGGTCTTCGGTTTATGATATTCCGTTTGCATAGTGGCGTTGTAACCCGAATTTGCGCGCTAGTCCATTACTCGCCTATGCTAACACAATAGTAAAGTCATAACTACAGTCAATATTTATACAAAGACACTCCAACCCATAAATAAAAAGCAATAAAACGGTGCGGCTTCTTGTGCACCTTGACCACAAATTAATGCGCCGTTCATACCCTAAAAAAATGTCCCGTCGTATCCTGAGAACCTCGTGTATCGTGACCGAAGCAATCACAGTTAACAGTATTATTCCAAAGTTGTTCGTGAGCGCTGCACCGACTACTTTATGGGACTCACGTCTTCTGCTTACGTTTGGTTTGAATTTGGCTAACAATTTTCTACCGTGGATTCTCGGATGCTAAACACCATCATCTTAACTGGGCTACAAGGTGCTAAGATTGAAACTAATAATGAAATGGAAAGGCTCAAGAATGAAACTGTCAAGAGACCTCGATTGATTTGCTTTATTGACTTGCACCGTGCTACTTATGTTTGTTGCGCAGTCCGCTAACCACTTGATCTCGTTTTTCGCAGACATCAAACACGAACAAAGTGTGGCTAGAGCGCAGTGACAATAACAATGAACTGAAAAATGGTGGCGAATTAAACTGTCGTGGCAAAAATGCCTCAAGTGATTTTTCCTTTTGGAGGTCTTATGTTCGTGGTGCAGTCACACAACCTTCGATTGTGCACAGTGCTCAAAACGCTCAGGAAACGGCTCGATTGCGGCAATATCCAAACTTAAAAATAAAACGGTCTGAACAATTGTTGTGATAAAAATGATCACACAAATCATCTTGAAACAAATTCACCCATTCACCACGGCACTCTTAAAGAACTCAAAATAAGATGACCTCACATTAGCCCTGGTTTTAAAAGACTTTTTTTTTTTTTTGCATGGAACTTGTCGTCATCTGATGGCAGCAAGACTAACCTTTCAGTGTACTTTGTGAAATGTCATAAGATGGCCCCTAGGCCCTGACTACGAAAAAAAGTAGTCACAAAAAATGATGTCGCCCCAGAACACATGACTGATCTCTGACGTTTTTTTTTTGTTTGTTTTGGATTTGTTTCACAGTTTGTTGCAGAGTTTGCTAACAACTTACTGCAGACTCCCAGACGCTAAAAGACGCGTGAAACCTATTGTGCACTATCATCCAAACTCGCAGAGAAATGTAAAAAGCAGAACAGAACAAAACTCTTTGTTTTTACAAAAATAACTCGATTTGACTTCCCACATGTTTTTGAAGAGATAAAACAAGTGACAGCACTGTGGGTGCACTTTGTTTGCAAATGTTGTCCATGCGTGCGCGTGCGTGTCCGTGTCCGTGTGCGCGTGTGTGTGCGCGCGTGGGTGTGTGCGCGCGCGTGCGTGTGTGTGTGTGTGTGTGTGTGTGTGTGTGTGTGTGTGTGTGTGTGTGGGTGGGTGGTTTGGGAAGCTTAATTACCCTGAGGAGCTCCGAAGCATGCTGACAACAGCACCCCAAACGTGTGACATTTGATGAAAGGTCACAGTTAATTAATGTGCCCGCCTTATTACTTACAAAAATATATCCAGATTTCAATGAAGTAGTCTTGGAATAATGTTATTTGTTAACATATTGACCGGACTGATTATTCAAATAACTGCTGGCATTTTCAGCCTTGTTAAGTCGACACAAAAGACCCCTTCCATACAGAGAAGTTGTCAAATTGATGCCTCACGCAGCATTTTACCCTTATTTTAAATGGGAAACATTGAGAAATTTATAGTCATCTTATGTGAATCTGCACACCTTTGGGAGGTTCACTTGTTGAGGGGATTGATGGCACGCAGTCTTATTTTGACCACTTAAAATAAGGCAACCGCCTGTGCAACTTTTTGCAGATTTCCAGTAGTTTTACTGAAACCTGTGTAACTTTGAGGGGATTTAACCCCTGCGCAATGCAGGTACACTTCATGTACACCTGACATGCGTTGTGTTGCAAAAACAAATGCATGCCATGCATGGGTTTTAAACCTGTGGCATGCATTCGTTTTTACAACACAACGCATGTCAGGTGTACATGAAGTGTACCTGCATTGCACGGGGGTTAAGGTAGTCTTACTTGTTTTACCTGTGCAAACGTGGGGGTATTTACAGTTGTCTTATTTTGAACCTGGCCAACTTTTAATGGGATATATCTCAACTCAACTCAACTGTATTTATAGAGCACTTTCAAACAGCCATCGCTGCATACAAAGTGCTGTACATGGAGCAATTCAACATATACAACAAACAGTATAAGGCGGTCTTCTTTACTTTTGGGAGCTTTTAAGGCAGTCTTGTTTCAACATGTGCAACTTTTGGAGAGTTAAGGGCAGTCTTATTCTCATTCATCTATTCAGTTTCAACACCGCTTATCCTGAACAGGGTCGCGGAAAATTGCTGGAGCCAATCCCAGCTGACTTCGGGCGGAAGCCGGACTTACACCCTTAAATGGTCGCCAGTCAGTCGCAGGGCACAGACAGAAACAAACGACCATTCACACCCACATTCACACGGTCACTGAGTGGGAACTGATCCCACGCTTCCTGCACTACACCATCAGCGACTCGCGGTCTTATTTTGACCTCCCCACTTTTTGTTTGCCTATGAAACTTTTAGAGGATTTACAGTTGTCTTACTTTAACCTGCACGCATTTGGGGGAATTTACAGTCGTCTTAACTTTTGGTCGATTTATGATAGTCTTATTTACACCTGCCCAACTTTTACTGGCTTTAAAGTGGTCTTATTTTAACCTTATTTGTACCTTGGCAACTTTTGGTGGCTTTAACAGTCGAGTTTTTGCTCGTGCAACTTTTGGTGTGTTTATGGTCCTCTTAAAAACATCATTTCATTACCGGACATCACAAGCTGACTTTAAGGCCATCATCGGTCCATAGCAAATCCCTTCTCATCAAAATGTCAGCATCATCGGTGCTTGTGGATCGCCGTCTGGTCTCACGACTGCGCTAAATCCTCCCCATCAAACTTTATGACTCACGGTGAAGGTCTGTTAGATAAGAAATGACCTCAGCGGGAAGAGAACACGCCGTCTTGGAAAGCTAGTGGGCTGAAAAGTCGAGCATTGTACGGCCACCCAAAAAATGTATTTATAATTAAAAAAAAATAAAAAATCACAAGCCTTTGTTACATTGTATTGTTTGCAACCCGAAGATGTGCCGAGAGCTTCTTAGCTGGCCTTTTCATGGTCGTTAAACGACCTTGTTTTGATTCAAGATACCTCCAAAAGAAAATATTGAAATAGATTTGATGCTTTTATTCAACTTGGCAGCCTCTTTTATCGCTGACAGAACATAGACAAAGACAACAATGGGCGGAAGATTCCATTTAATCCATCCTCTATTGGCTCAGTGCTCAACTGTTTAAGACGGAAGATATGCACTGTTTGTCCTGGGATTGCACAGAGCAGGCAGGAAGGCCCTGGAAAAAAAAAAACAATACTGTGAAATAATTTGTATTTCACAGTATTGGTTTCACAAATGTATTGACTGCAATTATGCAGTCAATACATTTCTCTTTCTTACTATGTAGCTTTTGTTTACCTGATGATGAAGATTACCGCTCAGTTGTTTTTCAATTCTTCCTTGAAAGACAAGAGTCAGTCATTGACAATTTTTCTTTCATTGAAGAGCAGCCCCTTGCCTGGTGTGACAGACCTTGGCGCCTCCACAGGGCGACATTGTGTGTCACCCACGATTTGTGCAGCGCAAGCAGTGCTTATTACAACTGCTGAAGACGTGAAAGTGAGATTTGGTCATGGCGGTAGATAATAAACGCGCGAAGGCACTTTTAGTAAGGCAAAATATAGAATTTTACATTTATTATCGCCACAGAAAAAGTTATGTGCTTTCCTTTTTTTTTTCCAGGTCGGCTTCCATTTACATTTTCAAGAGTCCTGAAATATTAGTTGCATTAATTTAGCCACGTAACCTCCTAAAACTGAGTGCTTCGAGTCAAGTTAAATTTCCATACACTGAAGATATCCCTTAATCACAAGCACGGAGTGGGCAGGTTGATGGCTGGGCGGTTGGGGCTGTAGTTGGCGATCTGATAGTAGTAAAACAGGCTAAAATCCAGATATCAGGGGTTGAGGCAGGGGAAGAGATGAATTACTTGGTGTGGTTTTACCAAATGCCAGAGTGTAAACATAAGTCTTAAATATAAACATTTTTACGGAGGTAGCTGCTCTTATTTCTAATA